AAAAAAAAAAAAAAAAAAATTCTATGAAATTAGGGTGAAAGAATAATACTGAAAGCAAATTTATTTGTAATGAGTTATGTAAAGTACGTTAAACAAAAATTAACTGTCGGGTTTCAGAATTTTGTTACTCATGAATGACATTTTTTTCTTTTTCCCTCTCCTTTACCCAATGAATGACGTTTTTCAAAGAGGAAAAGAAAAGTGATTGAGGTTTTACATGATATGCTTGTGGCTCAAAATCCTGGCAGTGAGGGTGAGCATGGTGTCTCACTCCTGTAATCCCAGCACTTTAAGGGAGGCTAAGGTGGGCAGATCACCTGAGGTTGGGAGTTTGAGACCAGCCTGACCAACATGGAGAAACCCTGTTTCCACTAAAATACAAAAAAAAAAAAAAGGCCGGGCATGGCATTGCACACCTGTGATCCCAGCTGCTCTGAAGGCTGAGGCAGGAGAATGGCTTGAACCTGGGAGGCAGAGGTTGCAGTGAGCTGAGATCACACCATTGCACTCCAGCCTGGGCAATGGGCGAAACAAAACCACCCCTCAATGAAGTGCAGCTGTTAGGAATGTGGACTTGGGGTATGGTGTGAACTGACTACTAAGTTGCAGGACCTTGGGGAGGTCATTTAACATCTCTGTGCCCCAGATTCCACACCTCTACTGTGATAGAAATCATGAACATGGGGTTATGGGGATTGCAGAGTTAATGCTGCTTAGAACAGTTCCTCCCACACGTTCCCATGACCTGTAAGTATCTGCTACCAGTATTTTTATACACGAAACGCCTGCCTTGGCTATCTCTGTGCTGCTTCCAGGGCTCTCTGGTGGTCATGAGGCAGATGGACTGGGAGCCCCTCTGACCAGGCTTGGCTTTTTTTTTTTTTTTTTTTTAAGAAGGAGTCTTGCTCTGTTGCCCAGGCTGGAGTGCTGTAGAGTGATCTCAGCTCACTGCAACCTCTGCCTCCTGGGTTCAAGCAATTCTCCTGTGTCAGCCTCCTGAGTAGCTGGGATTACAGGCGCATACTACCATGCCCAGCTAATTTTTGTATTTTCAGTAGACATGGGGTTTCACCTTGTTGGCCAGGCTGGGAGGTATTACCGACATTTACCAAGGGGGACAGAGAGGCATGGAGGATGTGGCCACCCTAATGTTAACCAGCCAGGTCAGCTAAGGGCTGGGACTGCTAGCCAACAACCCAGGCCTGCTTGCTGCCTCCTCAGGGACTTGGAGCCCACAATAATGCTGGAGATCTTGGCAGCCATCCTGCAGCGGGAGTAGCTTTCAAAGAACCACACTGCCCAGGCGCCTGCCTTTATCAGCCACTGCTTAGCTTTGTCAGCTTGCTGCTTCCGGGGCGGCAGCCAAGCACCAGTGCTGCCTGTCAGATTCAAGGATGGCCGCCATACCCTGGCTCCAAAAGATCGTGGAAGCAGGCTTCCCAGGTTGTTGTAGGCAGAAAGGCTCAGGGATGGGATGACATCTGCAGTGCCCTCTACCGCCCAGCTGGTAGAGGGGGCTCGCGCCAGAATGAGCTGTGCACTTCAGCTGGTCCCATTCACACTTGGGACAAATCTCTGGGGCTGTGGAACCCTTAGGTGGGGCCTCTCCCCTCAGTGGCATTTGTCCCCTACCTTTACGACGATGCCTGAGGGGATGTGCTTTAGCACCACACAGTTGCTGGTTTTGTTGGTTGCTTGGCCCCCTGGACCGTGTCCTTTCACAAACTGCTCTTTGAGTTCATTCTCATCTAGGGAAAGCAGTGCAGGATAGTCCTTCTTGCCTGCCATCTGGACTGGAGTGACAGCTATTCCTGGGGATAACAACCTCAGCTTCTCCCAAAGCCGGAGTCCCCATGGCGCCGGGCATATTCGGGTCAGTGGTGTAGGAAAATGAAATAAACCTGTGGTGCTCATAAGGAACGTGGCTCTGCTGGCTGAGGACCTGGGTTAGATGAATAAGGAGAGCTTTCAGTAAGAGGCATCTGCCCTCAAGATTATGCTTCAGATTCCAAGACAGCTTTTCATAAAGCAATTCAAAAGATGACCCATCTGTTATTGGGGGATTTAGGAAATGAGTGAAGACAGATTATTCAGCAAGACACCCCTCTCCTCAGCCTTGTACTGTCTGCCATGTTACTGCTCCAGGCCCTGGCAGTTAATACATATTTTCTTGCAATAGACCAAAAATATTTTCCAAGCACCCAGAGGTGCTGTTTTCTAAGGAGAAGTTTTTTTTTTTTTTTTTTATGGGTCAACATTGTTTATGATTGTGGTTTTTTTTTTAAATTGCATTTTAGGTTTTGGAGTCCATGTGAAGAACATGCAAGATTGTTGCATAGGTACACACACGTGGCAGTGTGATTTGCTGCCTTCCTCCCCATTATGTATATCTGGCATTTCTCCCCATGCTCTCTCTCCCCAACTTCCCACCGCCCCGCTGTCCCTCCCCTATTTCCCCCCGACAGACCCCAGTGTGTGATGCTCCCCTCCCTGTGTCCATGTGTTCTCATTGTTCAACACCCATCTATGAGTGAGAACATGCGGTGTTTGATTTTCTGTTCTTGTGTCAGTTTGCTGAGAATGATGGTTTCCAGGTTTATCCAGGTCCCTACAAAGGAAATGAACTCATCATTTTTTATGGCTGCATAGTATTTAAGAAGAGGTTTTGAGTGTGAAATTCAGGCTGGGTTCGGTAGCTCATGCCTATAATCCCAGTACTTTGAGAGGCTGAGACGGGTAGATCATGAGGTCAGGAGTTCAAGACCAGCCTGGCCAAGATGATGAAACCCTGTCTCTACTAAAAATACAAAAATTAGCCGGTCGTGGTGGTGGGCGTCTGTAATCCCAGCTACTCGGGAGGGTGAGGCAGAGGTTGTGGTGAGCAGAATTTGTGCCCCTGCACTCCAGCCTGGGCGACAGAGTAAGACTCTGTCTCAAAACAAAACAAAACAAACAAAACAAAAGAAAATCAAAGGAATGGGGCTGTTATTTGAGAAAGGTATATTAAATAGTGCACCAAGTAAGAATTAGGATCTGGGTCAAGTGCTTGTATTTTAAATGTTTGAGAATCTCTGAAATCAAAATGTAAAGATGACAGTATGAGAGTCTATTTTATTTATTTATTTATTTATTTATTTAGAGACGAAGTCTCACTCTCGTCCCCCAGGCTAGAGTGCAATGGTGTGATCATGGCAACCTCTGCCTCCCGGGTTCAAGCGATTCTCCTGCCTCAGCCTCCCAAGTAGCTGGGATTACAGGTGCATGCCACCACGCCTGGTTAATTTTTGTATTTTTAGTAGAGGTGAGGTTTCACAATGTTGGCCAGGCTAGTCTTTAACTCCTGACCTCAAGTGATCCTCCTGCCTCAGCCTCCCAAAGTGGTGGGATTACATGCGTGAGCCACCGCACCCGGCTTAGAGTCTATTTTATAGCTGAGCTTAAACAGTCTGACATAGTAAACATCACTATCAATCAATGTCATGATTGTTGTTTTTTTGTTTCCAGTTTCATGGATTTGAATGGGAACATCTGTTCCCCTGGCTGCACTGCCAGTAATATGGTCCAACTGGTACTCATCATTGGAATTACCAAGTCAACTAATTTTTTTTTTTTTGAGACAAGAGTTTTACTCTATCGTGCAGGCTGGACTGCAGTGGCGTGATCACAGCTTACTATAGCCTTGACTTCCCCATGGTCAGGTGAGTCTCTCAGCTGGGACTACAGGCACACACCACCACACCTGGTAATTATTTTTTTTGTAGAGATGGGGTTTCACCATGTTTCCCAGGCTGGTCTTAAACCCCTAAGGTCAGGTAATCCACCTGCCTCAGCCTCCCAAAATGCTGGGATTACAGGCGTGAGCCAGTGCACCCAGCCTGTCAACTTTTTTTTTTGTATGAGATGGAGTCTCGCTCTGTCACCCCGGCTGGAGTGCAGAGGCATAATCTTGGCTCACTGCAACCTTTGACTCCCAGGTTCAAGTAATTCTCTGCCTCAGCCTCAGCCTCACAAGTAGCTGGGACTACAGGCACACACCACCACACCCAGCAATTTTTGTATTTTTAGTAGAGACAGGGTTTCACCATCTTGGCCAGGCTGATCTTGAACTCCTGACCTCACGATCCACCCACCTCAGCCTCCCAAAGTGCTGGGATTACAGCCATGAGCCATGGCGCCCAGGCTCAACTAACTTTTAATAAGGTCCTTGTTAGGCATTAGTGAGTGATCTGAGATGAAAAAGAGCTAGACTGTCTTTATGGAACTTACAGGTTAGAGAAGATTTTAAAAGACAAGACAGGCCTAGCCTCTCAGCCTACATCTTTCTCCCATGCTGGATGTTCCCTGCCCTCGTTTTGGGACTTGGACTGGCTCTCCTTGCTCCTCAGCTTGCAGACAGCGTATTGTGGGACCTTGTGATCATAATTTATTTGCATGGAAGTTTCTGAGATCATAGTGGACAGGAGGCAGGATTAGATTGCAGCTTCAGACAGAGCAGCATGCAGAGGCTTGCATAGTGAATTTTAGCTCCAGATCCACTGCAAGAACAAACCAGGAATCCTGAGAGGATCCACAGACCCTCTGAAGGAAGTAGACTGCTCCTGCAGGACCCAGGAGACCCCCAAATAATGTGATTGCCCCAACTGTGAAAATGGGAAAGGGAGACCCTCCTCTCCCAAACATACACCCTCCACTGGAGAAGGTGAAGATCTGTTTGCCAGAGAAGTTTCTGACTTTACCAGAGCTGAGTTAGACCCAGCCGAGCGAAACTCAGGGGTAGAGGAAGCAGCAGAAAGGCCCTGGGAGCTCACTGGGTCCCCAAGCAGCCCATTCCTGCATGTTACCACAAGGATCCATTGGGAGGGAGGGTGGTCAGAGAAGCAGGGGGTAAAACTCCACAGGGAGAAGGAATTCTCTAGTTGAACTTTGTAACAATCTGAACAAGGCGAGAGGCCTCCTGGCTGGAACTTGGGGAAGGGTACCAGTCGGGCATGCAGACTTCACAGATGGGGAAAAACTACAGCCCTTTTCTTATAGCTGGGAGGCGAATAGCCTTGGGCAAGTTTTTAAGCCTGTCTCATCCTCTGCCTGGGCGGGACATGGTGGGAGTGAGACTGGCCCTTCCATTTGCCTGGGAGCTGGGCCTGTGACTGCCGGCTTTCTCCCACTTCACTGATAACCTGCATGACTCAGCAGAGGCAGCCATAATTCTCCTAGGTACACAACTCCAGTGACCTGGGAATCTCAATCCCGTCCCCGACAGCAGCTGCAGCAAGACCTGCCCAAGGAGAGTGAGCTCAGACACGCCTAGCCCTGTATGGTCCTTCCCTATCCACCCTGGTAGGAAAACAAAGGGCTAATCTTGGGAGTTCTAGGGCCCCACCCACTGCTGGTTCCTCCCCCATACTACCACAGCAGATGCTTTCTGGAAAGCACCACCTCCTGGCAGGAGGCCAACCAGCACGAAAATATAGAGCATTAAACCACCAAAGCTAAGGACCCTCACAGAGTCCACTGCACCGTCTGCCACCTCCACCAGAACAGGCACTGGTATCCAAGGTGAGAGACCCCATTGACGGTTCATATAACAGGACTCTGTGCAGATAACCTCCAGTACCAGCCAGGAACTAGGAAGACTTGCTGGGTGGCTAGACCCAGAAGAGAGACAACAATCACTGCAAGTTCGGCTCACTGGAAGCCACATCCATAGGAAAAGGGGCAGAGTACTACGTCAAGAGAACACCCTCTGGGACAAGAGAATCTAAACAGTCTTCAGCCCTAGACCTTCCCTCTGACAGAGCCTACCCAAATGAGAAGGATCCAGAAAGCCAACCCTGCTAATATGACAAAACAAGGCTCTTCACCCCCCAAAAAACACACTAGTTCACCAGCAATGGATCTAAACCAAGAAGAAATCCCTGATTTACCTGAAAAAGAATTCAAGAAGCTAATCAGGGAGAGACCAGAGAAAGGTGAAGCCCAATGTAAGGAAATCAAAAAAATGATACAAGAAGTGAAGAGAGAAATATTCAGGGAAATAGATAGCTTCAAGAATTTGGTTGGGTGCGGTGGCTCACGATTGTAATCCCAGCACTTTGGGAGGCTGAGGCAGGTGGATCATGAGGTCAGGAGTTCCAAATCAGCCTGTCCAATATGGCGAAACCCTGTTTCTAATTAAAAAATACAAAAATTAGCCAGGTGTGGTGGTGTGTGCCTGTAGTCCCAGCGACTCTGGAGGCTGAGGCAAGAGAATCACTTGGATCTGGGAGGTGGAGGTTGCAGTGAGCCAAGATCGCGCCACTGCACTCCAGCCTGGTGACAGAAGATATACAAATTCTCAAAGAATATACACAAATGGTCAACAAACATATGAAAAAATGCTAAACAGCCAGGTGCGGTGGCTCACGCCTGTAATCTTAGCACTTTGGGAGGCCGAAGTGGGTGGATCACCTGAGGTCAGGAGTTCAAGGCCAGCCTGGCCATCATGGTGAAACCCCATCTTTAGGGAAAAAAAAAAAATGCTAAACATACTAATGATCAGGGAAATGCAAATCAAAAACACAATGTGATATCACCTTACTCCTGCAAGAATTTCCGTAATCAAAAAACAGTAGATGTTGGCATGGAAGAGGTGAACAGGGAACATTTCTACACTGCTGGTGGGAATGTAAACTAGTACAGCCACTATGGAAAACAGTGTGGAGATTCCTTAAAGAACTAAAAGTAGAACTACCATTTGATCTAGCAATCCCATTACTGGGTATCTACCCAGAGGAAAAGAAGTCATTATTTGAAAAAAGATACTTGCACAAGCATGTTTATAGCAGCACAATTCACAACTGCAGAATTGTGGAACCAACCCAATGCCCATCAATTAGCGGATAAAAAAACTGTGAGAGATATATATATATAACAGGCGTGAGCCACATATATATATACACACACACACACACACACACACACACACACACACGACGGAATACTATGCAGCCATAAAAAGGAATGAATTAACACCATTTGCAGTGGCCTGGATGAGATGGGAGACTATCATTCCAAGTAACTCAGGAATGGAAAACCAAACATTGTATGTCCTCACTGATAGGTGGGAGCTAAGCTATGAGGACACAATGGCATAAGAATGATACAATGGGCCAGGTGCAGTGGCTCAGCCTGTAATCCTAGCACTTTGGGAGGCCAAAAGGTTGTATCACCTGAGGTCAGGAGTTCAAGACCACCTGGCCAACATGGTGAAACCCTGTCTGTACTAAAAATACGAAAATTAGCTGGG